CCGTGTGCGATTTTGTTGTAGGTTTGACGACCTTCATAAAGTCAACATGACATAGAGGCGTATATAGCTGATAAGACTGGTTATATCCTCCCGCAGATTTAATTTTATTCGCGCTCTTATGACTGCGCTTTGTAATCAGAAAGATTTTATGCAATTTCATCGTTTTTCGTACGCGCACTCAGATACACACCAAGTGATTGCCTTACGATCATAGAAACCGAAGTGCTACCTAAGTTCCGAGAGTCTTTCTTGTGCTCTCGACAACCAGGAAGAGTACTGCTGTTGCAGGAAACGTCCTCACCAATGTAGGTACGAGTCCACTATAGAGACCTCTGATCCCGCTAGCTTGAAAAATTCTAAGCGCCACCTGAAACGTAAGAAAACGCTGCGTTTTGTTTAGCGTTACATTGTAACTTTGCAACTATCTGGGCTCCCCTAATCGCGCAACCGTGCGCAACAGCTTGCCGAAGTCTCTAGAAGTCGTTTGTGTCGTATCATCTATTACCTACCCATTTTGCTAACCAAAGCGTGACAAAGCCAATTCGTCTGTTGTAAATACGTGTATTTTGGATCGAAAACTCACCGTAAGGCAGATATGTGTATGCAATCCGCTATCCTATAAAAAATACCGTTTTGACCACCTAAATATACATTCGGCCTCCGATCCCGTTGTTTATCCCGAATTTTTCATTGAGTGAGCGACATACTAATTCAGGTTCTCACGATAGTGGTGTAGGCGATTGAAATCATTTTGCAAAAATGTTAAATATGACAGAGAATCCCTAAGGCATCTATTACTGTAATATCGCCGGAAGGAGCCAATTGGCAGGCGCAAACGAATATCACCCTAATTGAAAACATTCAGCTCTACAGTAGGTGCTGTTAGCAGCGCTTCTCTGTACTGTTATAATTGCTGGAACGAGCATATTAAGTCGTGCATATCAACCCTTGAGGTAACATTTACAACAACGCATCGGGCGGGACGTGTCACAGTTAATACATAAAAGCGAATTTCCGCACTAATCAAACAACACCAATCGCGCTTTTCCACCGTTTAGCTAGTCTACTAAAAATCGTCAACGATTTGTATTTAGTTGAGTGTTTAAATGCATAATTCGAAATTTCTTTTTTCTTTTTTGGCTGATAGAAGACCATGAATACACTATTCCTACTGCACATACATATACTGCTATGCGTAACATTGGAACGAGCACGTTTCGTGACCTGTCCTTATGGAGTACGTTTTCGCTTTGGTAATAATTAGTTTAAGTATAAACATATGTATAAACTGTAGGTTTAAGTCGACAAGCTTAATACACTTTTGCTCAACCTTTACTAGTATATTCGTCTTATCTCAGCTTTTTTGGACGCGAAATTTCCAAGTCCCACTTCGGGTAAATTAGGCTAATAGACACGAAGTAAACATACAACAAGGTAGCTTTGCGATGTGGCTGTACAATACTGCTAGGTCACATCCTATTCCTAAACTGCCCAGTCATTTCAAGGCTGAGAAACTGAATTTTTGAACTAATAAGCTCGATGTTAACGAAAACGCTTCCCAAATGGTGGAATGGGCTTTCATGAGGCGATACATATGTAGGACAAGCTTATCATCAGAGGTAACTTTCCAAGTTTTCCAGTTGAAAGCGTAGAATCTCATTAGGTCTTTCTTATGTCCAGTTACACATAAAGCATCCTAATGGCGTGTAATATTTAGTAGCTATGTATATTAGCAAAGATGTTAAGATGGGACTTGATTCCACGAAGTGCAATTTTTCGCGTAGCGAGAGATTCGCTTTCGCGCGAAACAGATCGCATACGACTTGCTTGTGTTTAATGATTTAGTGTCTGCCCAGTCGTTGTTACCTTTATTCGACAGAGCTGTTAGCAGTTTACTTATTATATCATGGAGGTATTTTTGTTACGTAGGATGTGCAGATTTTTTGGATTACCTAACATAGCGTCGATAGCAATAACAAAAGTTAAATCGCTTTACTTATCAGCTGCCTTCCATCGACATAGTGGCACTAGATAAAAAAAAATATGTATTATTCAAAATCATCAATTATTCAAAAAAGCAATACTAACTAGACCAAGGAAACTATTACGAAAATTTGCCTAAAAATCGTTTTCACATTCATGAGTCGATTACAATAGGTCTAAATACTGCATGGGCAGGAACGTTCGACACCTATTCTTGGCACCATAGGCGTTTTGTCGTTCATGAAGCTAGGACAATAGTAGCAACTTGAAATACCAAACACCAGCGAGAAAAAAGAAAGCATATTAAGAATAGAAAATGGTGGCCTTTTACGTTTAGATAGTATCGACTTTAAGATAGGAGCTGTTCGAGTAAGGGCCTGCACAGTTCGAAATTAGCATTCAGTTTAATGCTAACCTCAAACTATTCCTTTTCATGTTTCATTCACATCATCAATGAGTTTCAGGTTAAAGTCATGAAGCCGATGCTAATAACAAGCTTCAAATTTTAATTTCATACATGCTCTATTTGTTAAGCTAACAACGACAGATAGCGCATGCGGGGAATTATGATTTCTATATGTTGCTACATAGCGAATGCGTACACATAATATGAATTCTATTTTCTAGAGTGGAAACTGATATTAACAGACGTAAGTCGACTATTGAAATGAACACTGTTTTATCACGCTTAGGGTATATTGCATAATATGACATAAACGCGACCACTACATACAGATCAAGCAGATTATTCGTTGTGCAAACCTCTTATCCTCCTGCTGTGAATTCCAATCAAATTTTCTACACGGTTTAGTTGCATCCAGAAAGTAGCGCGTTACGAAGCTGTTTTCATTTAAACACGCTTATCTATATACAAAAGAGTCGACTACTAAAGACGAAAGGCGTGAGAAAACATCGAAAGCGGACGCACAATAAGTACGACTAGTAAGTAAACTCATGTCTCGAACTTTTAGGAAGAGATGTCTGAATTTAGAACGTCTATCAAGTCCTCCTTATATTTTTTACGATTATTACACTTATCTAATAATTAAAATTTATGAATATCTATGCTAAATCTTAGTTCCAGGAAAAATAAATTACACTAGTTTAATTGGTACATCTGAGATATATAATCACAAACACTCTTCGCTCTTATGTACGCGAGTTGAATCCTTCTGGCTGCAAATTTCCTGAAATGAGCAAAACTTGACTGCTACTATTTGCCCCTATGTGTTTTGAATATATTACGGGCAAATGCTGTAATAGTATTTACGCTAGCGCAGGCAACATAGTAATTCAAACACGAGTAACATTATAGGACTGATGAGCCTCTGTGACAAATCGAGTGTCGCATCGTGTGCTCATATTGTAATCAACAGATTTAAAAGCTTCTCAAGTCTTCTTTTCCATTCAGTTCCATTATCAGTTTTAACATTAGGTGGTGTCAGTGCCTTGTGAGAAATTTCATGCCCGATCACCTTAGACAAGCCCGGAAGATAAACCTTAAGTCGCTGGCAGCGTTCTGAGATTAAGCACTTATAAACCTTGTATCTATGTCACAGCAAAGATGTTGTACAATTTAGCGCTGGGACACCAAAAAGATGAAAATAACTCGCAATCACATAAGTGGTAGTACACAATAATAGCTACAGACCATGTATAGCCTGTAGTTACTCGTTTCGTCGGGTAAGTTCAATATCCTTTTTACGTATATTTTACTGCTCTAATGTCCCGTTTGGATATGTACGATAATAGAAACTCTGGATCACAGATATGGCTTTTACGGCAATTTCCTTCTAAAGTATAAGTAGCTGGAAGCACCAATCTGACAAACTTGACCTTTATTGAAATCCTGAATATAAATAGGCTTTAGTTAGATACGTACCACTGTACATTTGACTAGAAATAATCATTGTACATAAAAACGGCCAGCACTCGCAAACTAACGTAACATGTTCATAAATAATAAGGTAAATATAAGGATATTTCTCAAAGCTTCATAACTTAATGTCTACTTTAATCATTAGTCAGAGCTCTCAGAGGCTTTGTCTTTCTCATAGAGGATATCGCAAGAACTAGACTGAATCTCATTTAATAAAACTAAGTACGTCGTTTTTTTTCTTTTTATAATATTTTTTAACATTTAATAGAACTAGGACGTCGAACCCTCAATAAGCCAACGAAAAGTCGGCGAACAACAAGAGTAATGACGTACGTATGTATAATACGTACCTGCCAAGTGGAAGCTTTTGGCACATCCGGCGAATCAAGAACCTGCATCCTTGACTTGACGAGGTCCGCGGGAAATATCACTAACCAAATGCATATTCCGGCAACACCTCCACTAACTGCAGTTCCTATGAAAAGTAACGATGGTAATCGTATTATATGCTGTGCTAATGTAGAGTGTATATAATCGCGTCGTGCCAATGGCCCATACTGTACATTTATCTAAGTAAAATAACGGCTGCTACTCAATATTTCAGTAGATTCAGACTCTGTATAACGACAAATTAGAGTCAACTGATTTCTTAGGTGTGTTCTGCTTCGAGAGAGATTTGCCTAATGGAAAGATACCGTATTTAGGTACAGTTAAATCTAATACCCAGCCATCCGGAATTTCCAACGGCACTACGGAACATAAAACTCGAAAAGTTCAGTCAGACCTAATGTACATAATTGAATTACTAATTCACTGCTTAGCTGCTCCAGTCACCCATATACTATTTCATTTTATTTATATGAGCACATGTATAGATGTCCCAAGTTTTCACTGTACGCCAGTTAAACAGCCGATACGGCAATAAGATGAAACGAATAGAAGCTTTATACATCACTTATGATTCCTTTACAACCTTTGTTCGACTAGAATACTTAATATTATACTTGCAAGGTTGGAAAATTCTCAGAATGTTGCTAAGTAGGTTCTCATTGCCATTGTCTACTGATGCTGCTGTGTCTGCGGCTATGTTAGCTTCCCAATAGTTTCAACAGTGAGTTAGCAAACTAACTTACTGCATTTGAGCTATTGCAACTTCGTTCGATGTCCGGCAGATTGCAATGATTTTCGTTCTCACCCAGAGAACAACCCCGGTTACCGGTTGCCCCCAGATTCATGTTAATAGTTGTGCGGTGCAAAATACCAAAGTTCAACAGTCAAAGGCTTCTGTTTTGTCTGCACGGTTGGCGGTGGTTACGTCTAAGTAGATATAAGGTCCGAGACGAAAAGGTTTCCAGGGCAATATAAAATACGGGAGCGATCCGATAGACTGCAGGGGCTATCACTCGTGATCGCACGAACATTTAGTGGTAAGATGAACTGGAACTTAATTGAACTGAAGGTAAATTTCTTTATCCTATCACAGCTTTACGTTCTGGTAGCAATGGTTCACTTTCTACTTAAGCAAACATCTCTCAAATAGAGGACATAGTAATGCTTATATATATATATATATATATATATATATATAAACAGATTAACTCGAATTTTACCAATACAACAGTAAGTGTTACTTTGGCTGTGATCCGTGAACTATACAAAATAGCAAAATATAATTATAATCGTACTCACGCAGTGACTGCCTATGTTTTGAGTGAGTTCACGATGACCCTTAGGAGAGCAGTTGACGAAGACAGTAAGTGAGGTTTAGAGATTTCTTTGAAAAAAATAATTTACAAGTTTCGTATTTGCCTATTTTGTCAAGTACGTTAAGGTAAGTTCTACTCGCTTAGCATTATTTTAATGTAGTCAGTTATCACACTTAATCCTTAGAAAGCCTTAGAGATGTCTGATTAGTCTCCGTTAAACATTCGTTTTTAACTTGTGTTAATCAAGTAAGTAACGCCTATTCGTTGAAGAGATCTGGGTTCAGAAAAATGAGTGAGTATATGAATCGTCAACGGACTACCGCCTTGCCTACTACTGTATTGCATCAGTCTCCATGTGCATAATATATGCATTAAGATCAGCACGGTGGTCTATAGCTGGGCTCACAAAGTTACAACGCAACTCCAGATCGATAATCTATAGATGTTTTTCGTATATATCTACAGCACGGGATAGGGTATGGATTGCCACAAAAAATCCTGCTTTACTTCTGCTTGCCTGAGCAGTAACCCGATTCAGTCAGAACGTAAAGAAACCTACATTCACCTATCTGCCTTACTGAGTAATTCTACAGTGCATTAATTTATTTTCTAACTACCGCTGTGCCATTTTCCCCTCGCTGAGTCCGAATCGAGTTATAGCTGTATGCTGTGGTAATTGCCCATGGAATCCGTAAATATTTGACCAGCTTCTTCTTAGTGTATATTAGAGCGACCGCCAGCAAATATAGTACAAACACGAGAAGGCATCCATACAAACTAATTATTCGAATAATATTGTTCTGCTTTACAATGCATGGGTTTCGCATAGGGTTCAACAAGCAATGATGCTCTTCTGTTTGCTACCAGTATGGCTGCACCTATGCAGCTGCTTCATCAATTAAAATATTCGAGACACAAAATCTGAAAGCCGCGGCTGGGAGTCAGGAGCTGGCATAGAATCCATTCCGGAAACGAGGTAATCTGCGAAGAGAGAGACTGACTGCTTCGAGATGTGCAAAACCACCTAATAACAAACAAGCGAGGAAGCGATTCAATAAAACCGAATTAACTAGTAAATATTTCTATTAAATTGTTGTCAATAGTTAAGCTATTGCACCATTTGACACGGACAAAGGTAGAAAATAAACAACCTTACAAAGCCAAAACCCAGAATATCTACAAGCAGAACGACTAGTACCTACAGCTTGCAGAAAAAACCTAGTCATGCGGTACTTGCGGTTTGATGGTATTCGTTTTTTGCCATTGAACGCTGCACTAATACTAATCCAGTCATACTACTTTATTGGTTAAATTGTTGCGCAAGTAAGTCTTCTCTTTTCTAGCCTTATGAGCATTTTCCCTGATATACGAAATACTATACAAACAAGACGAAACATTTAGGTAAGTATTGTGTTTAAATCTCCCGTTGTGTGCTATTAAACCCGGAAGCATGTATCAGTAGTCTATATATGCATAGCATAGCAGAAGGCGCAAGCTCTGTCCCTCTATTTGTTTTGCCGTACACCGGGTTGTGTCGCCCTTACTCCCCAGGCTCAACAGAGCAAGCAAAATAAAGAATTTCGAGAATGGTACAATACTAGACTATAGTAGCGGATAGCCAAGATCTTTGTCGACGGTTGGAGATTTTGGGAATTACAAGATCCTAGAATGGATTCTGTTAAAGAGCGGGCTGACACATGGCTGAAAGGCTTTTGAAACAAATATTCCTCCTATGTCGAAGCGCGATGATTGGTCCCTATCTTCATCATCATCATCATCAAGTACATCCATAGAATGTAGAGAGCACGATGATCAAACAGGAAAATACAGTTGGAATATATTGCTTTAACAAAAGCTGATTTCTTAAAATTTATTTTGAATTCTGGTCTAGTGTGATGATTTATGACTTCCCGAAAGTTAATAACTTCGATGTGGAAAAATAGGATCGAAGCTGACCGAGCAATATAGTATTAGGCTTTTGAAAATAGTTGCCATGGTTGGTTAAGCTCAATTAAAGCAATAACTGCAAATCCAAAAGTTGATAAAAAATAGTTATAGTTATTTGAAAAGTTGAGTACGTGTTGACTTCAAAATGAACATTTTTCTTCCATGCTTTTCCATGTGAATATGGATGGAACACGAACTTGGACCGATAGTGATTGCGTCTTCATTTATGTTGTCCTGAACTTATGGCTATATACGCCCATCTAGGACAGAGACCTGTCAGGCATATTAAAAATAAGTATATCACCCCTGTCAACTTCATAGTATTGGAGTACCTTAATTGTATCTCAGTTTTTGCTGGGACTTTTGACTTAGTAGAAATAAGGCTATCTACGAAGAGATCAGCACCTCGGAACACACACGACGCTTTTTCGATAAACATGTGTGCAACACCTGGAATGGATCACACGCTAGAGCTTTTTGGACGATAATTCTCAACGTTCACATCTGTTGTCACTGCACTGACACGTAAAATTCCTACACTTGCACTATTGCCTTTTTACACTGCAGTGTATTACCGACAAACAGCAGACAAAATATCATTTGCGTCTGCGCCTGCCTCACGTTTTTTATCGCATTTACCTATAGCCAGCATGCGGTAATACGTCATCAAGGCATCTGTACTAGGCGCCATTAAGATAAAGCATTTGTTCGTTGTGATGACAAATTCATGTCCATTCGACGCCGTAAAAACGGATTATTGCCGATTTATTTCACTTAAGCGCTACTTTTCTGTTTTTACAGAGCACAGAGCACAGCTGTTTTAGCACAGTGCCACTTGTCACGAACTATAGATTTCTTTTTCATTCAGTAGAAAGTACCACGGGTAAACGTTGCATGTGACCGTAGGTGAAGTACGTCAAGCCCTAGGATACTTTAAATATTTCATGTTTTAACAGTAGCGGCCTGATCAGCTAAAGCGTCAGAAGAAGTTGACCGTTGTGTCAGAACCGAATGGCATTTGCACCTACGCCTTGTTTTCCGTGTTGTAATATTCGTGCTCAACGTCTTACATGTGATGTTCTTACAATGAACTTGCAAGAAAATCGACTGTAGCACTTGCTTGAAACGATCTCGGAAGAACAATAACACTCAGATAAGAAACAGACTAGATCGAATTTAGAAGACAGCGTGCAAGTTACTGCTAAATGTTAAATGTTTTTCTACATCTACGAATCTGGATCGCCATAGGTAGCGTCGCTGATTCCCGCCATCGAGATGCGGTACACGACCTATGGTATTACATAGTTTTTTAAACATTACAAAGAAGTTTTACCTTCAAACATCATCGCTATTATTACGATTATCATTTTTATTAGTTTCATGGCTTAGACATTATCGAATGTGAGTAAGAGAAAGTTTGGTAACTGTTGAATTTATGACAGAGATTTTATAGGGTAAGAAGTGGAAAGACGATAGGAAAAGCTCAGAGGTAATAGCTATAAGTAATCCGCGCTTTAGAAAGCGCCGTCTAAGAGGGGACATGTATATCTCAACTCAACCTTCAAATATAATCGTTCCTTAAAAACAGAATAATTTTTTGGTGCCTACAGTACTCTTCAAGGTCATACGATAAATTACACAAAATATGTTTATTAATACACCTATACGAATGAAACGGTATGCGCCGTTTTTTTACTTTACGTTAAAAGTAAAATGCGCGAAGTGCTCCATACACACACGCATTTTACTTTGAAAAAGTTGACTTTATTGGAATACCGCATTTGTATAGCTTACTTCTTTATAACAAGCGTCACTTAATAGTAACTTTACTAAAATATGCAACATCGATATGCCGATGCTGTTTGACATATCGATTTAACTTCTTTTTGCAGAAAGTAAATATTTTAGGATAAGGCATACATACAACCAACTGTTTGTCATCAAAACAAAGTAGTCTTACTGGCTTACCCACGATACCAATGTCCTTCTTGGCACATCCGTAGCATTTCGCGAAGCCTTGCCGAGCAGCTTCGTATCCTCCAAAAAATGCAAAATAGCCTGGCACCTCTCGTACCATTGTGGCTCCGATGCCCCGATAGAAGCCGGTTAGACCATCCGTTCGATAGATCATACGACACATGGCCATCATTGACCTTTTATGTAACATGATAAGCAAGCCATAGGAAAAAAGTAATTATAGGCACACATATGCACGTTTGTGCCGGCTCGGCGTTTTAGGATAAACATTGCAATTATTTTAGGCTGAACAGAATATCATCCCTAGCTTTATTTGGGAAAGGAGAGAACAAGAGACTGCTCAATGCTGGTTTGAATAAACTTAATATTGATGCCGCCGTAGGTAATATATATATATATATATATATATATATATATATATATCGGTATAGGCAGAAATCAAGGAATAAAAAAATAGCAATGAGGCACCGAAAGAAGACTGTAATGAAATAGAAACCATTATACAATTAACAACAAATCATATTGTTGATTTAAATAAAACGACTATGAAATGTTTATACAATTATGCCAATAGCTATTTAAAACGAAAAGGTTAAGCTTGTTGGAATATTTTTTGCAAAGAATTTTTTCCAGTTTATATTGGAGTTCGTATATTTAGACGGTTGATCTGCTCATTAAGACCAATTTCTTACAATGTTGGTTTGTGTCCGCTCGTTTCTCGTAGGGCCTGCAACTTGCATTTAACAAGTTCTGTAGGGCAGAGTGTCAATGAAGAGAATATTGACGCCATACCACCCGCCATAGCATTTTCAATTGATGAGAGATCCTGCTGGTTCCTGCAACGCCACAATTCCTGCGTAGGGAATTTTTTAATACAAGTCACAATCGATGCGAGTGACCCTTCAAAGCAGCTTTGTTAATCCATAAAACCAGTTGCACTTAGGCCTTAACGTGATAACGTAAATAAAGACAAGACCTAAAACTATACTTTAGTACAGCACTTGGAATGTATACTTCATACACGATAATTTAAAAACAATGTTGGCTTCATGTGGCTAGGCAGCACTGTCGCACTATTTGTACGTTTTACCTTTTTCCGGTTGCTGTCTTCACGATTTTTTGACAGAGGCCATATGCTCCGAAAAGGACTGCATTCTCGGCAACATTAGCCACTATTGCTGGGGCAGTTCCCGCATACAGCCCTCTGCATAAATGATACATAAATGCGCAAACATCGAAGCTTAGTTCTTGACCTATTATACACTGATTCTATTAAAAAAATTCAAGCTTCAAATTGTACAGGTTCTTTAGAGAAGCGACTTATCACGGAGGTTTTTAAGGGCTAACTAGGACCTCTCTTGACTATAGTTAAGTAGACGATTATCTTGACCCATGCGCCGAAGAGAGCTCATGTGTTAAATAATATTTGATACGGTATAAGGCTGGAGCGAAACATCGACTAGGAATTTGGAGACAGGGTGAATTGCCAATGAATTTTCATTTTGTCAAAACAATACAGTCATACATATCATATAATGTAGTAAAATTTAAGTTCTAACATCATACCTCATTACACCGTCTTGTCGTATCGTTTCCTTCAGGCAAAATATGCTATTGTTGTATAATTGTGGAAAAGTCTGCATTTTGACCTAAAATCGCATATAAATATATATATATATATATAATTGTTTATTATTATTACGGATTTCTTTCTATTCTACTGCACTGTCGAGAAGATCAAATATGAAATTTTTTTGAAAATCTACCAAAATTCTCCGTTATCTGCAAACGCCACTTTCAATCATCGAATGTCGAAAAAGTTTTTCCCACTGCTTCATCAAGAACCGCGCGAATTATGACTAGTTTACGATATAATACACGGTAAGTTCGCTATTGTATGCGATTCAGCACTTTGTCTTGCGGTAACTCAATGCAATACCAACCTTAACCGTATCGAGAGGCTGTCCGACAAGGACGGTGGCAATACCGCCAAGAGTCCCTGCGAGAAGGTCAACCAGGGCATTTCGGACAGTTCCTACAACAAGCTTATATTCTTCTACCTTCTCCATTCTAAAATCTGGAATAGCAAACGGAAAAACGGCGCCCAATATTAATGTTAAAATGATGTGACGTATAACCAATGTGTCTGATTTGCATTAACCCTACTTTTATATTTAACTCTGTGGCAGGCCAGTTTATCCATACCGATATTAACACACATGTTGTAAAAACTTACGCTTCTTCACAAAGACACATTTAGTTGCTACCCGTAGACTGCCTATTTTTGTCTTCTATTGAATCTTTTACACATACGGGTATTTAATGACTTAGCTACAGCGGTTCAACTAAAGAATAAACACAAGGAGACGCAGCAATGTATAACGTTCCGATTCCGTAGAGTTTCACGCAATGATTATGGCAATAATAAAACCATTCTTCTCAACGTGAGCTGTATCATAGAAATGGTTTCCCCTTACTTGAACACGAAGACGTTGCGCCCAGTATCTTACCAGAACAGATTATTAGGCCAGAACGATCAATCTACGCGATCGGCCAACAAAATGCTGTTTCCTGTTGTGCTAGGTTTTTTAACGCCTACTCTTTTCTTCAATGTGTCATCCAAGTAAGTCTATCAAATTAAGAACGGTTTTCTACTTCAAATGCCAAATTTGAAAAATGTCATAAATTCTCTTGTTAACTATGCTCATTACGGATTGTAAGCATCGGTGTACGGTAAAATAGCTCCAAGCTTAGAGAAATCCTGAATTTTTTAACTTTACTGTTACAATAATACAACATTTACTACAATAATACAACCTTATTAAGATGTGCGTCGATGAAATACATACATTCTAAATAGAACTCAAACATTGTTTATATTTTTATTAAAATATTGTGGGAACTTCATAGGCTTTTGCACGAATTAAGATAGTTCACTTGTATCTGAAAATTAGGTTAAAATCAGCGTGTATGTATATATATATTTTTTTTTTCTTTTTTTGATAGACAATGATACAAAGATTACGACTACTAAAGACGAGCTCCGCGTACATAACACAATAGCAACTCTTTGTTGTGCAGTCTAAGGTTCTTCGAAAATATGTCCGTGCCCATCCCATCATGCCGAGACGTTTTGATACGACTAATGAAAGAATCACCGCTGCAAGAACCGCGCTGCAAAGCCCCTTTTAATTAAAATAAAAAAGAAAAACTTGTTAACTCTGCTGTGCAATTGCTCGAGATTTTTTGTTTCTTTTTGCTACTGGACTTCACTAGATGGGAGATAGGCGCTTAATCACATCCTTTAGCTCTTTCGATATTATAATAAAAATAAACAAGCTAATTATGAAGTCTGGATTAGGCCACTTCAAAATATAAGTAATAACCTAAACTCCAGCGATGGAAATTAACCATGCTAAATAACAATGTTGCACTACCTTGCTTGTTATGCAGACAGGATTGTATAACTGGTTTCTACAGCAGAAAGTTTTGCCCTACTCTAAAAAGCCGCTCTTCATATCACTACAGTTCGAATTTTCAGCGCCCGTTAGCATTTTCACATGTGAAAGAACTTTTATAGCTTTGATGGCAGATATATGTATGTATAATAGTTATCAACTTTTTTATTTTGCCGGTTAGAGCAACCTTCTTAATCGGCGGGCAATACCCCGCAGCAGTTGATTGTCTAGGTTTGCTTCTGTACAGTTGAGCTCGAAACTGGCTGACATTGTTAAATATGTGCCGATCTGGTATCTCTGTATCCGACATAACAAGAAGCATCTAACGGGAGTGTGCAATCAATAAAAATAATTCGTTTAATGTTGTGGGCCCATTGCACACAATGTTAGCCGCAATCTTTTCTTATCTGAAGCTTAATAATTGTGATGTTCATAACACTTCTTCAGATACGACTGTAAAAACGAGAACCCGTTCTCCAATGATAGTTCATATCTTATTTGTCACTTGAGCTGTACAGGATGGATCCGAAATCAGTTAAAGCATTTGGTATATAATATGTTGGTAACGTAACGTTGATACATCACTTACAGATAACGGCACAGTTAGCCAGAATATGTTGTTAGTATTATGCAATCTATATTCTGTTAGTGGTGACATTGCCGGTAGAGCTTCGTGAATAAAAATGAACAGCCTAATCAACACCCGGATCTACGTAGCCATGGGAGACTAAGACAAACGAAAACAAATTTTCCAGCATGTTATGAGATCTTTCGATAATCAATGAATGCTTGTTATAGCTACAGAATCATCAGCAAAACTAGCGCTTCTACGGTTCATAGTCAGAGTCAATAGGACCGGATCTAAATGACTATAGGTTTATCCAGAATGATTCCGTCTGTGAAATAACGATAAGATATATAGCGTTAGTCGAAAACGAATCTTTGTCTCTGATTTAGTATGGCTCAAGCTGTAATCTTTCCACAATGTCGAATTCAATTGTAACCCAATAAATTCATTGTGGCAGCCATATTAGTGCGTAATTAAATTGAACATACACTTAATAATGCATAGAACTTATAGAAAAAATACAGAATACAATTGTATGGAAGGGGGCGATTAATCACGAGATCAATAAACCTACACAAAACATTTTTTACCTAACATACTTACTAGATATTAAAACTTCCAGTTTATTCCCACTCGTCACTAGGTGAACACAAGCGATGTATTATTATTAATGACGTATTGATTAATAACAACGTATTTTCAGCGTCAATCGTTTTCAAGTTTTTCGAATCATTTTCGGTTATAATCGGCTTGTGATCATTATTGTGTGGTAATCTCACTGGATTGGAATATGAAACAGGAAACGCGCACGGTTGTTTGGTATAAGTTTTTATTTTCAAAATAATATTGTATTGCCCTGAAAATTACAAAGGATACAAAATAGTGTATCAGATTGTTATAGCATTCATAATATTCTTGCAGCAGACGGCTGTGGTATTTTCGTTGACCTATTTTAGCTATAGAAAACGGGAGGTCAAGTTTGATATGAATCCTGAAACGGTTTAGATATGTCGTTTATAGACGGCTACGCCGATCATGATAAAAAAAAAGATAGGCTGCTGTCAGGCTTACGGGCAAACAGCTAAAGTGTATATTAAATAGCAAAAAGCAAAAGTTTTGTAGCGCCGGAACAGGCACCCGAGTTTGGTCGAGACAACGTAAATGCGTGTTTGATCAGAGAAGCAATATCTGTTATTGTTATTTTGCCCGCCCGTCCGAATCCCCTCTGTTCGGATGCCCTTGTTATAGGTAGTTCTATAACTAATTATTTCATGTTTGACGCAGCTAGTGATGGCACCTGCAATTCTATTGGTGGCTTTGGCAACTGATCGCAGAAGGCGCCGATGGTAATGACACCAACAGTCGTTTCACTTACGCGATCCAAAGTGCTAAATGTATTTGCATCAGGCAAACAAATAGGATTACACCATTGATGTAGTGAATAATATAGTTGTGTGCGATAGCACTGTCAAGATCAGCGTCGATGTCGCGGTGTGCACGTCTAGAACGCACTAGAGATTCTTGGAACCCACAGTTAGACGCCGGTTTGTCTCTTACCCCATAATTTGCCGTTGTGTGTATGACTCACCTAGTGGGAGAACATGTACCGCGCATGCTGGGTTGTCCGTCGTTGATTTTACACCCTCACTCATGCATTGCCTAGCCACACCAGGCGGAGAGTTATGATGCACATTTGTGTTGTGGTTGAATCTAGAAGCACGCTTACTTTTTAGCAATTTCACACTACCGATCGTTACTACTCTTGTGCGCTGTGTACAGACCCAACAATATCACGGCAGTACCAGTGATACGGCTGCCAAGCCGCAGCTTTTTAAATTCGAATCTTACTATTATGTTATGATAGAAAAACACACGCTGACTACCCTTTCCCAAAACCGCGTGCTACACCGTATTCTGCACACTCGCTTTTGCTAAATAACGGAAGGGGAAGGCATTTTGCTGTCTTAATGCTCGGACCATAATGTCGCCGCTGTTCCCGTTCCATTGGTCGTTTGGTCGATCGGTGGATCGGCTGATTGGATAGAGTCAAAACCCTGCTCACGTCCTTCCGTTCTTTCTCTCGCTATGTAGATAGGTAGCGATGCTTCTTAGTTCTCCTCGCCCTTTTTCTCTTTTTCGTGGCCGAAACTGTGTCCTTGTTGCTCCGGCGTTACCGTCGTCGTCGAAGCCGCCGGCCGCTTTCACTAGTTAAAGCTATACGAAAACGCTTTCCTCCCGCTCGGCGAAGAAGTAGCTAGAGCGCTGCGTCCAACTGAGCGAGAGTGTAAGGGAGAGGATATAGAAAAACCGAACGGCATTCGCTTGTGCGATGGTTGTGTAAGGGCACTGGCACGGAACGATAGGGGTAAAAGAAAAAGAACAGCAAGAGACCGCAAAAACGCACAGACAAAATTGATGATTGGCGGTTTTCGGAGTGCGCCTGCCACTCAGCCGCTGCGTATCACTGAACTGCTGCCGGATATATTGCGTACTAACTAATCAAATCAAAAGCCCTTGCTTGCTTTATAGGTTAGTTAGCCTATTGCTTGATATTAATCTGTTGCGGCAGGACGATTTGTGTGTGTCATTGTCTTGTGAAAAGTGCCGCCAGGTGTCGCGGTTTTTAAAGCGGGAATGGCCATAGTGGATAGTGTACGATCAGGCGACGATTCTCAGGTGAGCTTTCGGCTAATCTGCGCAGAGTGATGAGCTCTTTTCGGATTTTTTACGACCAATGTTGTCAGTAACTGCAGGGTTCTACAGAGTGTGTTACTCCTATTGGCACTGTACGCTTATTTGTGGAACGCTTAACTCTGGTTGCAGTATTTCGTGGGGTGTGCATGTGTGTGTGTGCGTGTTCGAGTCGGTTATTTTTTATATTGGAAGAAGCTGGCGACACACATAGGTTTAATTTAAAGTTTAGTTAAAGCTGCTTTTTATTAAAGCTGGGAAGACCAACGTGCTTTGTAAAGGCTGGTCTGAGAAGATTCGTTATTCAACTGGAATTATCTTTTTAACATGTGGAATGTAACTTAAAGTAATAATCAGTCCCCTAAATCGCGCGTTTATGTTCTACATGTTTCTCTCGCAATAATATAAATGTCGTCAAAGTTTCTTCATTTGATAAGCAGGCTTCGAAGTTATGGGATTATGGACGGCGTGCTGCTCCGCTGGGCAGACGGTCGAGCAACTGGCGGTGTAAAGCAATGGCGCGCTTGCCATCAAGAGTGGTGCCTCAGGGCGACTGTTGCTTTTGGCAAATACGCAGAAAACAGTTGTGACAGCGGTAGCGGTTCTGGTGGTCCAGTGGATGCTGGTAGGGCAAAGAAGCCGCCAACTGCGGGTGAAGATGACATCCACTCCGTTTATTCGCTTGCTTGCTTCTGTATCTGGTCTTGTTTTGGTGTCATTGCCCCACCGATGCTGTTGATACTCAGATTTTCACTGTCATATTATGATTATTATTTTACTCGGTGCACACTGTGTTGGGTCGGACAAATGGGCAGCTCCCTTTTTACGACGCAGAAGCTGTACGTCGATGAAATGCGATTACACTTTAGATTTATGTTTTCCAACTTACGTTGTATATTCACCCTACAAGAATAAATTAATGCACCTCAGGGTGGGTAAAAAAAACTACCGTGGATTACCGTCATTCTTATCTGCAATATGGCAATTCAAAATTGCCCTGTATCCGGCAGGGGGTAATTCTAAAAATAGGCGCTTACTGTATTCAAGTATCATATCATTACTGTACTAAAAAAATGTCTTTAATTTTGAAATCATTTATGGCAACCGAGCCAGCCACCTTTGTTCTTTTTTTAAATTGATTCTACTAATTTTTGACGTTAGGAAAATCGCAGGAAACCAAGTCACCGTATCAAAGTGAGCATCACACATTGATGTATATATCAGCAGTTAACTATTTCGAGCTTTACTTCCGGCACTGTCCTTAAGCATTGCCCCAGGTGGCTGTCCTTAGCATCGAATGAGACGAGTTCTCGTAACGCCCGTTTCCGAATGTATGCAATCACGTGTCCCTCAGTTTTAGTAAGCGTCAACACTACACCGTCAGAGGGACGTATATTGACAATAAAAATTGTACCTTAAGAGGATTCGTGCAAATTGTATGTTCATCGTTTAGATTGTCAACTGACAGAAAATTGATAATCTTATTTGCTTGAGAATGTATGTTTCGCATCCTTGAGAGATTTATATATATATAAGCAAAAATAAGTTTTCTCATATCATTTGTATATGGTACAGTACGCCCGGCATTAATATTCGCCGTATATCTAGTTATCGAAGTACGTAATTTTATACATCTTTTGCTATGATGGAAATCAATACACATTGTCGTATTTACCATATTTCGGTGTATTGTCCGTTTAAAATAGCCACACGTCGAGTGACATTTGTTTTTAACCTTATTGTTAGACCTCAAAACATACTGTCGCTTATTGTTTAATCGTCAGTATTTAATGTAGATCAAATTCATTGTGCACACAAATGCATGCATGCATCAACACATTTATTCTGAAGTCAAAAGCCAACCTCAGTTTCTGTTATTGGATGACACTAACCGATGCAGCATGTTCGACAACAAAACAAATTGCCAAATCACAGCCGCTTTTAGCAAGGTTATTCAGTCTACTATTTCGGCAAGTTACCAGTGTGAACATCATCAAAGTAATAACACTTTGATAAACTTTGTCATCTGTCGATATCAGGCCGTCACCAGCGTGCTTCTCATTGCTTAAGGACGCAATACGGACGCGTTATATTATTCTGGATCCAGAAGATTAACGTGACTCTCACTCTCGTATCGTACGTTTGCATCAACGTTATTTGCGAATCACCGCGCGGTGACTTGTTTATTCGAGTAGCGGCGATGCCCTATGAGAATGTTAAGCCTCCTAGAACACTAGAGTATGCCAGGAAGGCACGAATTTTTAGCTGTGTCATTAGCGCATGTTCTATACGAGCGTAAGCGGGCGCCCGCCATAATTGCTAACTTTGATTACCCGAGCTCGGATGTAAGTTGAATTAGTTTAAGCCAATTACTATAATATAATTAGATTTTTAGGT